TGGTAGAACGCGAGACAATAGATCTTAGATGTGCTTACGTAACGGCAGGATCAAGCAATGAATTGCGATGCATTGTGGGAAACATGTAGGAAAATATTAACCTTATTTTATGTACTAGTTAAAACATGAGCAGCCGATCTTTATCTGATATACAAACTCGAGCCGAAGGCGAGAGTTTGTATATCAGATAAAGCTGGATGCGAATGTTTTAACGTGTTTAAAAAACGACCCATCTTATGAGTTCATTGGCGAAGTAATTTTAAAACTACAAAGTACATGCATGCAGAAACCCCTCGCCTTGCTGACAAAACCATTGTATTTTCCGAACATGAAGTATTTAAAGTAGTTGTCATGGTAACACGATAATTTTGTTAAGAATATTTTTACAAATGAAAAATCCCCTAAAACTATCAGTTTTAATTACAAAATTTTCAATTCCCCAAACATATATATGTTAAGTATGTTATTATACGTAATATAAGTTTCAATTTAAGGTAAAATTCAACCTCAAACACTTCGCAAGACGTTTTAAAATGTTCTTTATAAAACTAAACTGCCTTTAGAGGCTTTATCGAAAAACTTTGAGTTTGAAATAAAATGATTTCAAATTCTCGCATTCAAACAACTTTGCTTTCTTTTTTAATATAATGAAAAAGGTTAATCAATAAAGAAACACTGAAATTATATGCTGTCTTCTTCATTTATTAAAATATACGCAACGATCACGTTATAAAGCGAACAATACATCAATATTTAAAACAAACCTACCTTCGTTAACGTCGGTGCCTTTACTCCATTCTTTTAGTAATTCTTTCGCCTTTATTTCCCTAAAAAGCTTTTGAAATTCACAAAATCTTGCAAAAATGAAATTTATTTGCAAGAAATCATCATTTGTCAATCATCAAATTAATCAAGAAATGTTTGCTGCTATTTCGCTGTCGTCATGCTGAATGCAGTCGTTATAATGGAAACTTTAAATTTGACCAATCAGTGTCCGCTCTTCATGACAGTCCGCCATATTTTTTATTAAGTGAGGATGACCACCCACCGAAACTTCCTTGGTGAACCATGCCCGCGATCATTGATGAACTTTAGACTTCGCTAATGCTTTCGTTTCCCCGGGTGTAAGTAGCCGGGCGGAATTAGTACCCTCGCCCCGGGCTTACGGCCAGAACGGCGCTCCGCGCCGTTGGCTCGGGAATAAACATTGTCTAACTCGAGAAAATCAAGGCAAATCAGGACAAATCTTTATCCGATCTACACACATTGATTAAACATTCATTGCTTTTGTATTTTCCTCGTGAATTATTAATGAGATTTTGAAATAGATTTAAAACAGAGTGATGTAAGCAATTCTAAGGTAACATATTGGAATTGAACTTTTCGCGTATTTATAACCGTAATCCACAGTCCCAGCTCTAAACAATTGCAAATATCTTTTGGTACTGAGTTCTTTATATACAACGTGAGGATTGGTTGACAGTGTAATTCCAATGTAATAAACTAATACAGTATTATTCTCTTCGGTGCCACCCCCCGCCATAACTAATGAAAAAAATTACTATACTATGCTGTTATTTTAATAGTATTTAAAAAAAATACTGTACTATGCTTAATAAAATAACATTGATCCGTGTCCAGGCGCGGATGATGCGTCCGACTGTCAATGAGGAGTCCGACTGTCTACGGGAAAAAGTTGTTGTTTTACTTCGGCGATCGCATAGCATTGGGCTAGTATTCCAAAGGTCGTAGGTTCGATTCCCACGGTGGCCAAGCATATTTTTCAAGCGTGCCCGGTGTGGATACACACTCAGAGTAACATCACGCACATAATACAGTGATAGTTATAATCATAGGAATTAAAAAGTGCTACGTTACATACAATTAGAGAATTTTTTTTTTTAGTGTAACAAGTGCATAACAACAACAATTGTGCATAACAATAGAATAATTCCAATGTAATACTAAAATGTCCGTTCTCTTCAAGTCCGCCAGGGTTGCGTTTTTAAGAATACCAAGATGGATTTCCGGAGCCATATAAACTTGTGTGCCCCTGGTTATTTCATCCGTCCGAGACTGAAGAATAGACCACGTCTGAGCCTCCAATGATCGACGTAGTCCAAAATCAGTCACTTTGCAGTTGATGGGACACAAGGCATAATACGCCAAACTAATTCCTGGTCTTCGTTGGAATAGTGTTGGTTGTTCACTAATACGTTGCTAAGTTTTAAGTCTCTGTGCGCAATGTCATGCTTATGGAGATAATTGAGTGCACTAACAACGTCCCTCGCACAGACGACCAAAACATCCGCAAACGATTCAAAGTCGTAAGCATCGTCAACAAAATGGCAGAAATCTCCAAGGTTGTCCACTCTTTTCTCGTGTCCAAAGGGTCTAAAGTCGAGCGTCGAAAATTCAACCATTAATGAATAAGGATTATCGTTAAATCCCAGAAAAGTCGGAATATTCGAATGCTTTATTCCGTATAACAGCTTTGCCTCCTTTATGAGCCGGTCTTTGGCCACTGTGGATTCGCCTTTTAACTTCTAAACAACAACTGTTTTTTCTTCCGGACCGTATATTGCGCTGTAAATCGAACCGAAAGCACCACTGCCAATTTCTTCAACATGTTTTTAATTAGTAATTCCCAACTAAATGTGGGTAAACAGTGATCTATTTTTCGCCTTTTCATTAGTGAAGGAAATTTAAAGCTTCCCTGTACTCCAGACATTTTGAATGTTAGCAACCAAAAACTGTTTGCCGACGTATTACACTATTTTATCTCACCTTTTGTCATTTAAGTATGTGGCATATTGGGCATGGTTTTCAGTGTGCGCTTTTTTATCTAAGCACAATGTAAAGATAAATAAGAGTGTAAGATCAAATTTCGAAAAATTCTAGATTATTGTCTATTGAAATGTCATCATTACAAAATGAAATAAAATATTTAGCATAGAACTGGCCAGCAAGAATTTACCCGAAGGTTAGAAAAATGTTGTGTGGCACAAATATGAAGTTTTTTAGCGGACAAAATATTTGAAATGTATCAATCGAGTTTATGCGCTTTAAATTGACGTTATGTGCTATACATTGATGTTATGTGCAAATGCATCAATGTCATCGAATGCTTTATTCCGTATAACAGCTTTGCCTCCTTTATGAGCCGGTCTTTGGCCACTGTGGATTCGCCTTTTAACTTCTAAACAACAACTGTTTTTTCTTCCGGACCGTATATTGCGCTGTAAATCGAACCGAAAGCACCACTGCCAATTTCTTCAACATGTTTTTAATTAGTAATTCCCAACTAAATGTGGGTAAACAGTGATCTATTTTTCGCCTTTTCATTAGTGAAGGAAATTTAAAGCTTCCCTGTACTCCAGACATTTTGAATGTTAGCAACCAAAAACTGTTTGCCGACGTATTACACTATTTTATCTCACCTTTTGTCATTTAAGTATGTGGCATATTGGGCATGGTTTTCAGTGTGCGCTTTTTTATCTAAGCACAATGTAAAGATAAATAAGAGTGTAAGATCAAATTTCGAAAAATTCTAGATTATTGTCTATTGAAATGTCATCATTACAAAATGAAATAAAATATTTAGCATAGAACTGGCCAGCAAGAATTTACCCGAAGGTTAGAAAAATGTTGTGTGGCACAAATATGAAGTTTTTTAGCGGACAAAATATTTGAAATGTATCAATCGAGTTTATGCGCTTTAAATTGACGTTATGTGCTATACATTGATGTTATGTGCAAATGCATCAATGTCATCGAATGCTTTATTCCGTATAACAGCTTTGCCTCCTTTATGAGCCGGTCTTTGGCCACTGTGGATTCGCCTTTTAACTTCTAAACAACAACTGTTTTTTCTTCCGGACCGTATATTGCGCTGTAAATCGAACCGAAAGCACCACTGCCAATTTCTTCAACATGTTTTTAATTAGTAATTCCCAACTAAATGTGGGTAAACAGTGATCTATTTTTCGCCTTTTCATTAGTGAAGGAAATTTAAAGCTTCCCTGTACTCCAGACATTTTGAATGTTAGCAACCAAAAACTGTTTGCCGACGTATTACACTATTTTATCTCACCTTTTGTCATTTAAGTATGTGGCATATTGGGCATGGTTTTCAGTGTGCGCTTTTTTATC